CGTGTTGAATGCAGACCGTCCGTTCTGCTTGCTGGAACGGACGGTCCGCGTGTATTTCTGGACCGTCCGTTCCGGGCTTCAGTTTTTCCGAAATTAAACCGAATTAGGGTTAAATCACCTTATAAGAAGGAGATTAAAAACCCTAATGAAAGAAGAGACTAGAGGGCCGACTTTTGGCAGGATTCTAAGAGCTTTTGGTGAGATCCAAAGAGTTCAAGGAATTCCAAGTCTCGTTTTCTCAAAGCACAAAATCGAATAGCTGATTCGAGTCCTAGCAGACAAGTTTCAATCGTTGGAATCCATCCCGAGGTGTGGATACGTGTAGAGGGCAAGGAATTCTTCCTGGCTTTCGTGATCAGACGAGTTCTTCAATTTATACAGGCCTCGGATCGATTGAGGTAAGCGTTCTAACGTTTCTACGATTCAATAGTAGCATGGTTCTAGGGTTCTATAAATTTTGTTTTACTTCCGCTGCGCAAACCCTAGAATCGATCTCTTAGGAATTAGATTCGCTCATGAGATCCCAGGAAACCCAACAATAAGATGGTAAATAACTGTATGGGGATGCATGTGATTGAATGATTAATGAACCCCGTACTTAGTGCCGGTTGACGGCATGAGTCAGTACTAGTATGGGGATGTGTGGATATGGAACCAGTGCCGGTTGACAAACTTGGAGTCAGCACTGGAGGATGGTGGTTTCAGTAATAGTACCGGTTGACGAATTTAGAGTCAGTACTATTACCGAAATGGAATACCAGTACCGGTTGACGATGTAGAGTCAGTACTGGTGTAGTTGGGTGTACGTTTCCATAACGGTACCGGTCGACGAAGTAGAGTCAATACCGTTAAGGAAATATGTAGTGAAGCCAATACCGGTTGACGGCGTGGAGTCAGTACTGGTGAATCTGATTGGTCGTTTCTATAATTTTTTTTTCAGATCCCGAGGTGCACGAATAGCGCACTGTGGACGGCGACGGCTTTGTGAAAACATCATTATGTACGGATAAATAATCCTATTTTGTACGTCTTGGTTTGTGGAACAAGATTTTGCGTGGAAACGGTTGTGTTTAATTTTGTGTTTGGACAAGTGTTGTTTTCGAGAAACGTGAAATGATTTTATTCCGCTGCGTGTTTGTATTTAAAAACGATTTTAAATTCCCGTACTTTTGGTTTTATTATGTTTTATTGGTTTTCGTCCATGTGGCATATCCTGTTCACGGGATGCGGGATTCGGGTGTCACATTCACTCAGCCACGTTTTCAGGGGCAGAATCAGGGATATGCGCAGCATAATCCAGGATACGGGCAACAAAATATGGGTTACCGAGCTCCTCAACCTACAAAGAATGATGAAGCGGACATTAAGACAATGCTTGCCCAACTAATGCTCGATCACAAGACATCATTTACTGAGCTGAAGACCGAGATACAGAGCATAAAAGTCAGGCAAGACACTTTTGAGAGGAGATTAGATGGCGTTGAGGCTCATCTGAAGCATGTGGACTTGCAAATTGCGCAGCTTGCATCACAACCCTCTAGACAGCAGGGCACATTTCCTGGACAGCCCGAACCAAATCCACGAGAACACGTCAATGCCATTCAGCTTATAAGTGGAGAGAGCCTGCCTGAGACGGTCCCTATTACTACCATAGAAAAAGGGACGACGTCTAGATACGCTGCTAAAGAGAAAGGAAAAGCCATAGCTCACGAGACACCTCAAGTGAATGTAGACGAAGCCAAACCGCCATATGTGGCTCCTCCACCTTATGTACCACCCGTTCGTTTCCCTTCTAGATTGAAGAAGCATACGGAGGATACACAGCTGTCTAGATTTGTTGATATGCTCCAAAAATTGGAGGATGCGAAGCCCTATTATGAGACGATGTTAAAGATACCCTCGTATGCGAAATTTCTGAAAGATATTCTGACTAAGAAGAGGGTGATTGGGAAAGAGACAGTAGCTTTGAGCACCGAGTTGAATGTTGCGATTCTACAGCATGAGCTGCCACGGAAGAGATCCGACCCAGGTAGCTTCTCGATTCCTTGTAAAATCGGGAACATTGAGATTGATCGTGCGTTGTGCGATCTGGGTGCTAGTGTGAGCTTGCTTCCATTGTCTATCTATAAGAAGCTCAATATTGGAGATCTTAAGCCGACGGGATGACACTACAGCTTGCGGATAGATCCGTCAAGTATCCTGCAGGTATTCTCGAGGATGTCCCATTGAAAGTTGGGGATTATTATGTTCCTCTTGATTTTGTTGTTTTAGACATGGACGAGGACTCGAAGATACTGATTATACTAGACCGACCGTTCTTAAACACGGCCGATGCGGTGGTTCATGTGCGTGCTGATCGTCTTACGATGAAGATAGGTGACGAGACTGTGGAGTTCACCTTAGATCACAACATGAAGCAACCATCCATCACCGATTCAGCATGTTATATCGATGTGCATGAAATCCTCACTCAAGAAGTCTTCGATCAGTTTCGGGAAGTCGATCCTTTAGAGATAACTCTCCTTGCGTCGAATGAGAGCATACACAGCAATTGGGAGGATATCCAGGAGCTTACGCGAGCATTGAATGAAGGATCGGACGAAGACAAATTTTTACGGAAGGCGGATCCGGACCGATTCCACCTGGATCGGACCGGATCCAAACACGCTTTTTCGCGGAAGAAGTGGATTCAGACCGAGTTCACCTGGATCCGGACTGGATGCAGTCTCTGAGCACTTCTGGTGTTTTTCACATCGACGCACCCGATTCTTCTACGAACGTCTCCGAACCCTCCACGACGGCTACTAAAGACGTTCTAGAGACTAGAGAGCTACCACTTAGCACGGGGATGTTGAATAAAGCGGATTGGAGTCTAGAGAATGCCCCGAAGGTGAAATTGAAGCCCCTATCTCAAGGGCTTAGGACAAAGGAACACACATACACGGATAGGAACACAGGACCATCATTGGAGAGAGATACATATCCCGCTCATAATCCTATATTCGTGTTTGAACCTTCTATTACAGGATGTCGAGTAGGGGTAATGAGAAAGAGAGGATCGAAACGAGCAAAGTCATCGCTCAAACAAGATCCACCTCCTTCACAAGTTTGGAAACCTAAGGAGGATAGAAGGCTCAAGCATCCACAAGGTCCAAAAGATACGCTTAACGCTCAACATCCAGGGTGGCGAAAGATCGATTATCTTCGCCTCTCAGACCCTCCCATCATTTGAGCAAGACAAGTCGAGCTAATGATGTTAAACAAGCGCTCCTCGGGAGGCAACCCGAGCATTAGGTAACTTTTCTTTTTCTTTGTAGCACAGGTAGTAGAGACCATGATTGTATTTTGGATCCTCCGGAATGCATTACTATTATTATGCTTTTGTTCGGATAACGTTTGTTGTTCTATGAGCGTTTACACCGGCACATGAGAGATGAGCATCGACTTTCGAGAGACAACGTTGGATAGGTTCCAATTCACAGTGTATGAGAGCTTTTGCATTTGACGCGAGTTAACTTCGATGCGAGCGAACGAATTTGGCAGAGCTAAGCCTTCTCTATCCCTCTTATATGGTCCTTTTCATAACGTTGTTTTCGATTCTACTTTTCCAGGCGAGAGTCTACACCGTGGACGGTGTATGGTTCAAACCGTGAGATCAAGTCCATACTCGAGAAGACGGTATCCAGATCCCGAAAAGATTGGGCCCTCAAGCTCGATGATGTCGTTTGGGCGTATCGCACGTCATTCAAAACCCCCATCGGGATGACACCGTTCCAACTCGTCTACGGCAAGGCATGCCATCTCCCCGTGAAATTGGAGCACAAAGCTTACTGGGCCACCAAGCAGTTGAACTACGACCTCAAATCTGCAGCCGAGAAACGAGTTCTCTCGCTCCATCATCTTGAGGAAATCCGCCTTGACGCGTATGAAAACGCAAAAATCTACAAAGAGCGGACGAAGAAATGGCACGACAAGCATATCCTCCAGCGTAACTTCCAGGTAAACGATCTTGTCCTTTTGTTTAACTCACGGTTGCGACTTTTTCTAGGAAAGTTGAAATCGCGGTGGTCTGGTCCGTTCAAGATCAAATCCGTATCACCAAGTGGTGCGATCGAACTATGGGATCATCCCGAAGGTTCATTCAAAACTAACGCTCAACGCCTGAAGCTCTACAACCCTGCTTTTCCATCGGACACGAGAGGAGCCATCGCCCTCTCCGATCCCGCAGAGTCGTGAATCCTTGTCGGGTCCAGCTAACGACCTAAAACAAGCGTTTGTCGGGAGGCAACCCGAACCCGTATCCTTATTCTATATTAGTTTTGTTTTAGCTTTCTTTTCTTTTTATTCTCTCGTGGTCCAATTCTGGCTATTTCAGGGCTCACGGGTCACGGGACTACTTATTTCTCAATTTTGGCCGAAATTCAGCACGGCCCGTGTTGCCTGTAACACGGTCGTGTCCATTTGCGTTAGATTTTCACAGAAATTCTGCACGGTCCGTGTTGCGTTTAACACGGCCGTGCTTGATTTGGCGATATGTCAACAGACAATCTGCACGGCCCGTGTTGAACTAAACACAGCCGTGTTTACTTCACGGATTTTTGACAGAGATTTAACACGGACCGTGCTCTACTTCAACACGGCCGTGTTCGACTCATTCGAGACACCCGACACGGACCGTGTTCGATCTATACGGACCGTGTCATCGTTTTTTTCGCCTTTTTAAATCTATTTTCGCAGGACTCGGCCGTGTCGTCTTGCTTCTCCGTCTCCCCTCGTCACCGCCGCCTTGTTCTGCCATGCGCCCGCCGGCGCCGTCGCCGTCGCCGCTCTATACTCTCGCGACCGGATCCCTTTCGGCTCTCCTCCACTTCGCCGGTCACCGCATCTGTTCCTGCCGTGTTCCGCTGTCGCAGTCTCCCCTAGCCACCGCCTCGCTCTCCCCTAGCCGCCGCCTCGCTCTCCCCTCGCCGTCGCCTCGCCGCCGCCGTCTCCCTGAAGGGATTCCTGGGATCTCTAGAGCGAATCCTATTCCTAAGAGATCGATTCTAGGGTTTGCGCAGCGGATATAAAACAAAAATTTGATGAACCCTAGAACCATGCTTCTATTGATTCGTAGAAAACGTTAGAACGCTTACCTCAATCGATCCGGGGTCTGTCTCTATTAATGAATCGTTCTGATCACGAAAGGCAGGAAGATTACCTCGCCCTCTACACGTATCCACACCTCGGGATGGATTCCAACGATTGGAACTTGTCTGCTAGGACTCGAATCTCTATTCGATTTGTGCTTCAAGAAAACGGACTTCGATCAGCCTCTCAAAACCTTGGATCTCACCAAAGTTCTGCTAGAAGTCTGCCCAAGTCGGCTCTTAGAGTTCCCCTATCAATTAGGGTTATGATCTCTTTCTTATAAAGTGATTTAACCCTAATTTCGGTTTATTTTCGGAAAAACTGAATTCCCGGAACGGACGGTCCAGAAAAGCACTTGGACCGTCCGTTCCAGCATGTAGGACGGACGGTCTGCCTAAACGTGGACCGTCCGTTCCACCACGTAGAACGGACGGTCTACATGCTAACGTGGACCGTCCGTTCCAGTCACCAGAACGGACGGACCACGCGTCTGGACCGTCGGGGCCGGAACGTCCGTTCCGGACCTTTCGGTCCGTCCGGGCCGGACCCTTCCCCCTCGGGTAGGATTGTGTCAGAGTACTTACATCGATAAGGTCTTGAAACGGTTCAAGATGCACGATTCCAAGAAAGGAACCTTACCGATGAGCAGTGGCACAGTTCTCTGCAAGAGTCAGTGTCCTACGACACCTGATGAGCGAGAACGCATGGATAGGATTCCATATGCTTCGGCAATTGGATCCATCATGTATGCCATGCTTTGTACTCGACCGGATGTATCCTACGCGTTGAGCATTACGAGTAGATACCAGTCAGATCCAGGTGAGTCGGATCGCCGTCAAGAACATCCTGAAGTACTTGAGAAGGACTAAGGATGTGTTCTTGGTATACGGTGGGTCGGAAGACGAGCTCGCTGTAAGAGGTTACACCGATGCTAGTTTCCAGTCAGACCCAGATGACTACAGATCGCAGTCTGGCTATGTTTTCTGCTTAAACGGAGGCGCTGTTAGGCTTTGATTACGTCAAACGTCCTGCGTAACAGGAGGACTATAAAGGCGTGTATCAGGTACGAAACGAATCATGTACTGGATTGTAGATAGTCAAGACGGGATTTGTACCTCTCGTAAAAGAGAGAGATATCGTGCTGATAGCCCCATTGCTCTGTATTGTGACAACAATGGAGCGATCGCACAAGCGAAAGAACCCAGATCCCATCAACGATCCAAACACATACTCAGACGATTTCACCTTATCAGGGAGATTATAGACAGAGGAGACGTACACATTTGCAGAGTGTCGACAGATGACAACATTGCCGATCCGTTGACGAAGCCTCTCCCTTCGTCGAAGCATGAAGGTCATGTTAGGGATATGGGCATTAGATGTTTAGCAGTTCATGACAGATCTAGCATGCAAGAACATGTAATGAATAAAATACTCTCATAAAACCACATAGAAAGTATCAATACATCGAATGTATCTGAACAAAGCACATAATCAGTACATCATAGAGCACTAAACCAACAATCTCCCACTTGCTCTAATCATGAACTGCTAAACATCTAATGCCCATATCCCTAACATGACCCTCATGCTTCGACGAAGGGAGAGGCTTCGTCAACGGATCGGCAATGTTGTCATCTGTCGACACTCTGCAAATGTGTACGTCTCCTCTGTCTATAATTTCCCTGATAAGGTGAAATCGTCTGAGTACGTGTTTGGATCGTTGA